GTAAATATTTTTATACATTTTCCACCTACCTATTACTGAGACGAATCTAAGTATTCTAACAAAATAAAATTCATGATATTCTGACCAGTCATTTTAGAGTTTACAACTAAGTGTGACTTACACGATAAGAATTTGTTTTCCTTTTTATTTTATATGTACCTCTATAGATTTTAGCTAGCGAGATTGATTCGAGGTTTAATTAATTATCTAGGTCTGCAGACCTTGACGATGCATTGTTGGTCGAGTGGTGGTACCGCCGAACGAGAATAGGGGATCTCATTTCTGGGATGCGATTTGTGATATGTCGGTGGTGTATATAGAGGTATATGTTCAATTTGTGTCTACATCTTATCTACTACGTAACATTTAGTGTTTTAAAGGAAAGGTCTAATTCTTTAGCTCAGTTTGAATTGAAACTATATATTTACTAATCAGATTTAAAATTCTTTCATGATTGGCGAAGCAAAAATTGTTTCATTTTACAAACAAATATGGAACAACAACTGCTCCAATTTTTTTACATGATTTAACAAGAATTTTATCAAAAAATGTCAGTTACAGAGACGCTTTATGATGATGGATGATGAGATATATGAGTCTACCTCCATAACCTCCCACAAAGCTACTAAGAAGTAATAACAGTATAAACTCATTTGTTATGACAAATGATATTCTGTACATTACATTGTAATATAATATCATCGCAATTACAATGTTTATGCTTTCATCGCCGAAGGTCGCTCTGATAAAATTAACAACCTCATTTTTATCAAATAAACAATGCGTTAATAACATTTCCAATAAAACAAAGGCGAAGCAGCCCAGTCCCACGTGCATATCGTACCCACTGTACTTAGTATATGAACCGATATATGACTTGATTAAACAATCAGAAACATTCCTTTTGTACTAACTTTATCAAAATTAATCAACAGGTTGCGTTCGTCGACTCATACCCAACGCCGCCAAATGAGGGTAGTCTGTTTTTTAATAATTTCAATGAAACTTCATCTCATCTACTGTTAGTACGCGTAGGTATTGTAGTCTAGGCTCGTAGGCTCCCTATACATTGATCGGCCGCAGTCTGTCAGTCCCTACATATGCAACTTTAGTCGCAATAAATTACAATATCGATCCCGTTGCCAAGTCACGTTCAGGGTGTGTACTGTCTACCTACGATTTGGGAGGTGTTGATTCTAGGCTACAGCGCGTCTACGTGGTGGACCAGTACATAACTAATACAGCTTTTTATATCGACCTCTGTGCAATAAAGTTAATCCAGGTCCTGTGTAGTGTAATATCGGGCGGGGGGCTGCGGGGAGGTAAACCGGCCGGCGCGGTGGCCACCTGTCGCCGCGCGGTGGCGCGCGTGTGCCCCCCGGCCCGCCCGCGCCCCGCACGCCGGGCGCGCGCCCCCTACCGCGGCCCGCGCCCCTGCACCCTCGACGCCGCTGCGCGCGCTTCTCCCTTCTCTCGAATCATTCGTTTCGCGACGCGTAGACTTGCCGGCCGGCCTCCGTATCACTCGCCCGGGCTCATTCCCATCGCGTCCGCTAGCCGCACCGCTCCGATCGCACCACTTAGTTGAAACACCTCGCCAAAACCATGACGGAGAGCACAGACACCCCCGCGGCAGCTGCGCCTGAAAAGACTCCCACTGAAAATGGAACTACTGAGACCCCACCCGAAGAGACCCCAGAAAAGGCGACTGAAGAAAAAGAAAAGGAGACTCCTCCTCCCAAAGAGATGCGCGCTGTCGTCCTCACCGGCTTTGGCGGATTGAAGACTGTCAAGATTCTGAAAAAGCCTGAACCCACTGTTGGAGAAGGCGAGGTCCTCATTCGTGTAAAGGCATGGTGAGTACTTTTCTCTCTTTAATTTCACATTTGAAATAAATTTCTATTAATTAAACAACTAAATACCTACTTTAAATTCGTTATGTGAAGTGCCTTTTTAAGGATAAAAGACGTTGGATTCGAATATTTCTTCGTTTGATGTTTTTTGGATATTGATTTATCTTTTCCAATAAGAGTGTTAACTACCCTTATTATCACCTGTGCGTGAGGAACGTGCTGTTTTTTACACTATTAGTTTATCTTTATTTCGGATAATATTTTTTTGGATAGACCGGTGTTCGCAGTGTAGTGTGTACCCACTTAACCGGTGTCTGCGCGGACGGGTCCCGTTCGCTCGCAGAGTCTCGGGCTCTCGGCTGCCTCATTAACATCTGCCTCCGTTGAGATGCACTGTTCATGCACCCGACCGATTGAAATTTCTGCACGCACACTGGCACCCACTACCGATCGCGCGGCGCGCCCTAACAGCGGATTTACACTTCGTCGGCCGTCCGCCGCCGATGCGACTACCACCTATAATATTTATGTGCTCGTGTTAGCCTCTCTCTCAGTTGATGAACAAAATGTTTAAATGTTTATTTCATTCGATTTCGCCAGATTATTTATTCAATAGGCTATGGAAATTTATTTTCAATCAGCATTGGAATAACTGCATGCATGTGCGCACCCGAGCGCGTCGCTGCGTGGACGCTGCGTTGTGGACGGTTGTAACAAATTAATGTTATTTTGTCATACGAAGCCCGAGCGAGCTGAGTTCGTGCGAAAGGGAGTTGAGCGCCTACTGACATTGTTCTTTGTTCGTTTTTATCGCTCCACTGCTTCAGATAATGCAACGGACGAGTCGCGTCAACGTGCTACTTGCAACCGCGACACATGAGTTATCTGCCACTTTTCTCGTTAACGTTAACTGCTTCGTAAGAGGCTTAACATAACATACTTAACTGTGAAGTATTTGTTTCGTTACAATACCACAAACGTTAACAATGATGAATGGTGATACGCTTTTTATGAAAAACCACTTAAGGATAAGGTCAACGGTTTAGGATATGTGATAAGACGGTCATGTTTTTTTTTCATCTTTTTTTCTGCTGAATTTTATCAGGAATTTTATCAAGAGTCAATAAAGAAACCTGAATTCTTAGTAGACTATTGGGACAAAAACGAAAGATGATATCAATGAACTAGAAGTTTTACTGACTTTTGCATACATTTGGACATAATTCGCAAAAATCTATCTGGTACAATTTGAGGATGATTTGGATCTGGGAGAAATAATTATTGCAAGGAACTTGCAGTGTGTAGTAGACGGAGTCGTATAAGAGGCAAGGGAGGAATGGAGGCGATGTGTGTAGGTGCAGTGCGAGGTGCGATGCAGAGCCGGCCAGGGCGCATCCCCGCGCGTGCTAAATATAGCACGCTTATCGTCGACTTACTATGTAAATGACCGCGACATAGCCGACGCCATCTGCCGCAAAAATATTAACTGACTGGTTGAGTCCCGGACCGGTATCAGTACAAGTTTGCTCTCTAGGTTTGAGCCGCAAAAACGTGTGAGTTCCGCCTACACGGAGCGAACGAACAATCCAAGTTTAGTGGTCTGTAATCTGTCCGTTGACTAAAGTATTCCTTTGTGAGAACTTGCAAATAAATGGGTCACAAGAAACTGGTCAGGAATGTGCATAACACTGTAACGGTTAAGTTTGATTTCTTTTTTTTATTGGGAATCCTTTCCATGGAGGTTTATACTCTTGATGTACAGAATTAAATACAAACAAAACGAAGGACTATCTATGTCTATGAGAAAAATTGCAAGGTTCTGGATAGATTGGTCGGGTGGGAGAGACCTCGTTTTTGCAATATTGCAATTGTTAAAACATGGTCTAGAACTAGACATAAATAAGTAATTAAGAACAATGAATTTAAACCGACAGAATATGTAAGAATCGATATTCCCCATAACAGTGCCCAAGATTAATAGATAGACACTCAATTTTATTTATGATCTTAACGATAGTGATTCGTTGAATTCCAAACATTAAAAAAGTGGTACCATTATGAGGTACCTATGCTAGAGTGTGTTGAACCGCAATTAAGGAGTCGTTATATTACATAAGTAGTTCAAACCCATACCTGTCACGCAGTCATCAAGCAGAGCTGCCATAAATAAAACTCCAAAGAAACATCCCGTTTCAACAAAGCTAAGTGATAATAAATATTTAAACAAAACTATTAATGAACACTTGTTTTTAGTTCTCGGTATATGAGTAAATATGTAGTACTACAATATTTGTTCAAATACTCGGAAGTACCAAAGCCACAACGATTTTGAATGGTATTTATTAAAATTGTCCTGATGATAATGGTACCGGAAAATAGGGGTATATTAAAAACGAGTTAATGATGAGTTACAATTGATAGAACGATTATGATATAGTCGTGCGTGATCTGTACGATCGGTTTGGAGTGGCCGCCTTTCTTGTGATGTTTTGTAACTTTAACTTGAAGGGCTCCAATGAATAACGGGTCATTATTTTCAATTAGGTCAAACCAGTGTCAGTAAGAGATGTCTTCCAAGAACAATGGTGGTACTCACGCCCTCGGATAAGTGGCTTTCTTTTATATGGAGAGAGCTTAATTGTACGTGGAGATGATGGGAATTGTGATGGGTGGACTTTTGTTTTTTGTTTAGTCCATGTGTTCGGGGCGTCTGGCCTACATCATTTCGATGAAGCGTTTATTTTGGGGTCAGGGATATCATAAATATCAAGGATTTCACTGTGCACTTATCAGTACAAGATCGTGGTACGTTGGTATCGAAAGTGCAGTGTTAATTGCTCACATCCTTTCCTTTGTTGGCGTATCAATTTAAGGCCTAAAAATAACATCTGCCCCTCGAGTACAGGGGCCGGGCTCTATGGTATAAAGTGCAGTATTGTGCATTTTAATGGGCTCCGAAGCCGCATAAGATGGGAGAGATGAATTTGTTTATTACCCTCTTCCTTATTGAGAGCGTCTGCGCGAGATAGCTCTCTTCCTATGAGTCACTAGAAAGTTATGTTCTTGAGCTAACTCGATTCAAATAACTTGCTGTGGTACCTGACTGCCAGACCGAGTGGGTGGATTCGCTTATGATTCTGTACCGCACTGGACTATGGCTTGTTTGTGTGGATCATTTGATACCCCCTGCCTTCAGCTTTAACAACTCTCTTATATTAAATAAACTGCAAAGTTATTTTTAGCTAAGTAATATAAAAGACCAATTTATTGTTATTATGCGCCTATTGAATTCAATTTTATAATGTGGGTATATTGTGTTCTTTTATTAAGTTGTTATTCATAGGAAATTGTATTTTTTTCATTCAATTGATATTTTTCCCTCGAATCAATTGCCCTTATAATTTATTAATTTCAATTAAATGACCATTGCCTTCATTCTTCCACAGCTATTTAGTTGTGATCAGTGTAAGATATATCTGACGCACAGATTATAATAATGTGGTGGTGGTATAATAACAAACAGCGCCTATTATTATATTCGTATTTTTATAATAACATGTTATCGTTGGCGTGACCTGTGGGATGCGCTCCATCCATCAATCAAACACGATGAGAGACAGCGTTACACTGGTTACACGTGTGCGCTGGAGCTTCGCGGCGAACTAATTCTTCAATAGTTTGTTGTTTTAACATTATTTCATTTGCTGAATAATTAGTGTGTATGAGTACTGGCGATGCGTCACGACCTTATTCCCGTATTACTTGCACAGCCAACTTAAGTGTACAGATGAGTCAGACCAAGTTAGGCTATCACGCCTGACTCACCTAACAACATAAATACTATGGAGTCAACAACGTTATCTGTCATTTTGTTCGGTGATCCCTTCACTTGCTTTAAATAAATAAATAAATAAAATAAAATAAAAATAAAATACATTTATTTCAGGTGATCATAACCCATATTATTACAATGTTAATCCGATAGGTAAAATATATTAATAAGTAAAGATACAATTGTTCTATTTAGGAAATTTATAAGGATATGTGCTTTGACGAATAGTTTTGACCTTCACCACATTCTCGCCATTGTTAACATTTCTCCTGAATGCTGGAGCTGATTTATTTGTTTTATCCCCATTAAACATTAACGTCACTACAAATAAGGATAACCACTGTATTAATATGATGGTACACTGCTGTCTTTTGTTACATACAGTATACCAACGCAACGTAAGAACAATCTGAACACAATAAATAAAGCTGACATGTAGCCTGTCGTATTCATATTAGTCGAAAAATGTAAGTTGTCGGAAGCTGTAACATATGCTGTCTCTATAAAATCCATCGTCGGACAGCAGATGCGGCAGGCGGGATCGCGGCGACCCAACCGCTACCCGCGGGCACATTGTTCGCGGAGTCAACGAACTTACGAAAATGCTCCTTCGCTTATTGTGCCCATAATCGAATCAAGTGGCTACTGTATATGGTAGTAAACACGTCGCATACTTTCATCTTTTTTGACAAATAAAACACTCTTGACAAGATACACAACTCCAGAACATTCGGCACGCTCTTCTGGAAGCCAGAACTTTTGTGAATGCTTTATTGAATCTTGAATATGTAATCAATCTTGTGGCGAGAAAGTTTCTTCTCTTATGGTTTTATCCATAATGTTGTCGTTGGAGCCAATCCGTTCACATCAGTCTCGTTATTTATCATATTTTCTATCCATTATGATCTCAACGACCGTTACTTATATGTTCTCAATTGCTCAGCAAAATTGAATTGGAAAATCCCGTGACTCGATTCTGCATGAAAAAGGGGTGTGGTTGCGTTGTACCCGGGTGTCGGCTAGGCGGCTAGGCGGTGTGCGTCAGGCTAGGGGTGGGTGGAGGGCGCGGGGATGAGGGTTGCGAGTGCTTCTGTAATGTCTGGCGAGGCTCGGGGCTCGGGGCCGGGGGCACGGGCCGCGCGCCGGATCAATACGGCGCGTCCCCTACCCG